AAAAAAAAAAAACAAACAGAAACAAGGACTGATACTATTTAGACAAAATACTACACTGCCTGAAAGCTAGCCCTCCTTCTGAAATAGTGATGAAACAGAATTAAAGTTTTGTACAGTGACAAATAGATTAGATGATTGATAGCAAAACAAATAGATGCAACTGAAACTTGAAATTACAAATAAGATCTTGCTGGCAACATAATTGCTCGTATTGTATCGTTATCACAACCCTGATTAAGGCAATGATGGAAATAAAAAGCAAATCTAAAGAAATACTAGAATTACAGTAAATTTACCTTTTTCATATACTATTTTTTTTATTTTCCTGCAGAGCCCAACAATGATTACTGAAAGGGCGGCAATTGCAATTGCGGAGGAAATCGCAAAAATCATCAAGGTGGCAAAATGGTCTGTTTTTTTGGAACGAGAAAGATCACCTTCGTCTGACCGCTTTGGACTCACTGTCGTGGCTAAAAAGAAAAATATAAAAGAAATTGTAATTTACAGCTTGTCACGATCCTGTGATCTGATTCATGTGTCACGTGATCTGATCACTTTTTCTAGGGAAGACATGTGACTTTCACTGACAATACTTGCAGTCTCTCCACCCAGAGGTAACAGTTGTCACTTTGAGAAGTTCAACATGACCTTTTACTACAAACGGCAAACTTGATAGTTTTATAAAGAGTTCATTTGTCCAACCTTCGGTCGAAAAACGGGCGACATTAGTCTTATCTTCATCCAGTGTTGAAGAAGTTCGCGTGTTTGTCGACAGCATAATAGCTAAAAAAGAAACAAGTGAAAAAATAAAACCTGACTATTAAAAAGTGAACAAAGACGCAAGCAAAGTAAGATCCTGAAAGGCACAATTTTACCGCGGTTATTAAGAAGATTTTTATCTGTTGTGAGATGAGATTATTTGATGTCTCTTGCAACAAAATACAGCGTGTCATCTTTTGAGGCAGATTATGTTATAAATTGAAAAAACAGGCGTTACCTTGCGGATTTCTTCCAATATCACAACGTTCCTCCGACGAAGAGGAACCCTCACCGAATTTGTTCCATGCTGACACTGCAACTGTATAACTTTGATTCCATTCAAGATTGAGCTTTAGAGAAAATGTATCTGTGGTGTTAAAGGTTTTGAATATTTTCAAGGAAAGTGAACCATCTGAAGAAAAGTTGATTTTCCAGACATATAAAGTATACATCGTGATCGGGCTTTTACCACTGTATGGCTCCGTCCACTTCAATGAGCAGTTATTTCCATCGATGGTAGGGTTCGATATTGAAGGGGAATCAGGAGGTCCTAAATGAGAGCAAGAGACAAAAAAAATACAAAACAGTATATGTATAAGGTATTTGTGTAAGGTATTTTAAGGATAAAAAACAATTAACTTTGAAAACTCCTTGATAATCTATTTGCACTTTGCAATTAGGACCAACGGTGAAATTTCGCGAAGAAAGGTTTGGAGAGTCTAAACCAAAGTGTTACTCCATTGCAGAACAAAATATTAAGCTTTATCCAAACTTCTTCTCAAAGGTATATTAAAACAAGAGTGATTCGTAGAACAGGTGGTCAACACTTAACAGAAATATGGCCTAAGTATGACTCTTCCTTGAAAGTTTAAGTGCAATTTCTCTTTCCCCAAAACGTACGTAAAAAAAATTGAAAATAATTTTCGACCCGAGCTATATTGTTCTCGATATCAAACTATAGCTGGAACAGAAAAAGAGGAATTACAAGTTAAGGCGAAAACTAATTTAGGCAACTCAATGTGTACCTTGAGGAAGGGTGGCTCCGATGATCTTGGCTCTCTCTCCGTAACCAACTTCGTTCCTTCCTTGTATCTCAACCATGTATGAGCTGTTTTTCTGCAGATTCTTAATAACCAATGACGTTGTTGGGATACTTGCATATTGCTTCAATGGCTTTTGGGTGATACCATCCAAGACTTGTATTCTGTAGTCCAATACCTCAATGCTGTTGTGTTTAATTGGGGAATACCAAGAAATGTTTAATGAGAGCACTCCTGGCCTGACAGCTTCTACGACCGGTGGAACAGGTATGTCTGTAAAGAAAACCAGTTTTAATCCTGTTTCACAAGAGGAAGATGAGTGGGGAATCACTGTCTGTCTCACTGCCGTTGAATTACTGTCACTTGCCTGTTTTCATTCCATTTTAATTAACCGACCGTCAGACAGAGCAACTTCAAGTTATTGTTTCTCTGCATATAACAGGGATAGTCTGACTAGGAACCAAACTAAAAGTTTAGGGTCTTGGTTGATAACCGGGATCAGCTCATAGGCAAATAAATACGGTAACTTCCTAACCCGACTTTATGGATTAATGACTGATCGACTAACTGACCGGAAGATGGACTGACTGATCGACTGACGTTTTGATTGAGTGGCCAATGTACTAGATAACTCTCAGACAGAGAGACAGAAAGGTGAACACGTACTCCGTCTTGCTTAGAGGGTGGCTTATGCCTTCTACCACCCTGACTTCCTCTGTATCTGTCTGTCTGTCTGTCTGTCTGTCTGTCTGTCTGCCTGCCTACCTGACTGACCGACTGACCGACTGACCAAGTGACTCATTGAACATATTGGCTTAATTCTTCTTGAAATCACTTATCGGTGTTTACCTGCTACAAGCGTTGTAACGGTTATATTTTCTGACTCTCCATAACCAACGACGTTTCTTGCTTGTAACATGACTATGTATGTCCTGTTTTGCCTCAAATTTTTGAGGTGGAATGAAGTTTCTTTAATTGCGTTTTGACTCTTCATTACACTTCCATTGGCATGCAGTAATGTTATCATGAAGTCCAGTATGTCACTGCCTCCATTTGCAATCGATTTGTTCCAGGTGACGTTTAATTCCAACATGTTCCGCGAAATTTTATGTACCTTAGGAGGGCCTGGTCAATCTGAAATATTGCACCAGTAAACAAGGTTTCATTGAAATCATTCATATCATAGTGAGCAAGATTCAGTTCAGATCCTACTATGCTATTAGGACGCTTACGAAAATTACTGATCAGTCTCATTAAATGTTCTTTTCAAAGGTGAGAGGGTATAAATATCAATTCTCGTTTCAATGAGTCCGCGATGGCCCCTTTAAACAAGCAATACTATTAAATTGTTAAACAATATTGATTTTACAGTAGGTTACTTTCAGCACTTAAGTTTCATCTTATACGCTACAAAAGTAGTTGTCAGTAAAATTAGTCTCGAGATAATTGGGTTTGACAAACACAACACTAGTAACTTCGTCATCTTTTGGGCATCCATTTTTGGTTAGAGTATAAGGAATTGAAGAGATTGCAGGAGCTACGTCCCCTGGGGCCCGTTTCTCGAAAGTCCCGGTAAATTAACGAGCCTGGGGACCCGTTTTTCGAAAGTTCCGGTAACTTAACGGCCCGTAAAGCTGTTCTGTTTTCATTCAAGATAGGGATTTCAAAGTTTTCAAAATGATTCAATAAAACTATCAGCTAAAGAAACAAAAAGGAATGGTATGGGTGCCAGAACCTGCTTTCCTATCCTTTAAATTGTTATTATAAAACGTGGCTTCGGGTCCGTTAAGTTACCGGGACTTTCGAGAAATGGAACCCAGAAGCGATATTTTAGAATCAAATTTAAGAAATAGGGAAGCAGGTTCTGGCTCTCTGACGAGTCCATTTTGTTTCTCTAGCTGACAGTTCTATTGTACAAGTTTCAAAACTTTTTAAACCCTCATCTTGAAAGAAAACAGAACAGCTTTACCGCCCCGACAAGTTGCCTAGACCTTCGACAAACAGGCCCATGAATCAAGACTATTTCAGCGCCGTTGAGTTACATGTTATCTGAGTATACTTTGAACACCAGGATCTGGGCTTTCAGTAATTACTGCTATAGCGCATAGAATGGAAATCATTAAAAACGAAGTAGGTTTTTGTGTACATACAAAGTTGTTCCACGGTGATGTGATACCACGCAGTTTCCTTGAAGTTGGTTGCCTTACACGAATACAAACCGAAGTCACTCACAGTTTTCGGTGTCAGCGTTAGGGTGCTACCGTCATGCGTGGAATGTACTCCTTCCAAGATCTTCCGGCCATCTTTAAACCAAGTGAAGCCCGCCGCAGGATTGGATGTTGAGTACAGGGTGCACCATGCACAATGCAGGGTTGTGTTGTGATTGAGCCATGATTTTATAAAAGGACTCGTTGAAGCTGTTTTGTTGATGCGAGGTCTATCTGAATATTGGTAAGGAGAGTTACTTTTAACGATATCATCGAAAGGAAACCATGCTGGGTTTTATTTCAAGATAATGAATACGCCCAGTAAGCCCAAGATAAGTCCAAATTAATTCTGCTCAAACAAGTATGATTACCACCTAATACTTGCCCGCCAGTAAGGGCTTTTCTGTCGATCAGTAGTGGCAACAAGTTTGAAAACAACCTCAAAACTAAAAAATGTATAAACGTTCGATATAGTTAGATCGTGAATATTTCTTATTCATATATTGATAAAAAAGTGTTGAGGAAATGACTTCAGTGAAACTTTCAGTCAAGCGAAACACTCCGTTGAAGAAAAGGAATTCCAGAGGTGTCACTTCATTGAAGGCAAAAGTAATTGGAGTATTTTTTACTTTGCGTCCCTTGAAAGTGATAGAAGTGTCCGCTGAAGGAGATGGGAAACTGGACCTAAATAACGAAGGAAGTCAATTTTCAGAGGCTGTCTCTCTTATTTTCACCCGGTCAATTTCGCGTCAAAATAATTTTGCCTGAAACTCTGTCAACAGAAAGATTTTACTTAGGAAACAACTAAACTAGATTCGGTTTGATACGAAATAATTTTCTGCCTGCATTAGGGGCCATAATTATTTCCCCAGTCCGTAGGGACCGTCGCAACGTCTCGAAAATTGAAAAATAGTCATGTTTTTTAGCATTGTAAATATTTGATTCGCATAGTTAAGCCACGAAATTTATATTAGATTGCTTAACAACATGTACGAGCATTTGCTAACAATGTTAGAATTTCCCTCCAGTACATTTGAAAAGGCGAACTTTAGCATATTCTGACCACTATAAATTGCCCGCGGCCTATGGCCGTAAGTAACCTTGATTTAGACGTTAAGTTTCAGGATGTGAGAGCTGATTGACAACTCTATCCTACACAGCTGCTAAGTTTAGACCTTTACAGACAAACACATGCAAAAACCTCTGTACGTTTCGACTTTTAAAAAGTTATTCGCCCACACCGAAATCGAACCCCTAGAGCAGATCTCGTCATAAATACAGCAGTACCTTCGACGCAACTTGGCAAATGCTCGTACATGTTGTTAAGCAATCTGAAATAAATTTTGTGGCTTAGCTATGCGAATCAAATATTTTACAATGCTACAAAACATGACTATTTTTCAATTTCGAGACGTTGCAGCGGTCCTTACGGACTGGGGAAATAAATATGGCCCCTAATGCAGTCAGAAAATTATTTCGAATCAAAACAAATCTGATTTAGTTCTTTCCTAAGTAAAGTCTTTCTGTTGACAGAGTTTCAGGCAAAATTATTTTCGACGCGCAATTGACCGGGTGGAAATAAATATACTTACATCGTTCAACTCCCATTTTATCATGATGAAAAACGAGTTCAATTTGGTTTTCTAGACCTTGCACTGCAAATAAAGATGCCTGCACCTCTAAGTCACACATTGGGAGTCTGTAAAGTTTTAATTGGTCTTCCTGCTTCAGTACTTTATCATCATCGTTGTATCTAGTGCGAGGTACGTGGACATAAGGTAGAACTGAAAGAAAATTTGATACATACTTCATTGAAAGCAAAAAATGATGTGTCACTCAAAAGGTTTTAAGAAGTTTCACATCACGTTTCAGCTTACATGAATGAAGAGCGAGAAGCTAGCAGAAAAATGTTAGGAATCCGTAGCCATGTCGATTATCAATCTTAATGACCGCTTGTGACGATAATCAGCGAATCGAGTTCGAGAAAAGAACCTTCGAAGTTATGCAAATCTGCATGCGCAATTAATTAGGCCTGGGTTAGAAGACAACATGTCAATCCGGCTTATCCTGGATTCTTGAACGAAACGAAAAACTTACAATTAACTGTGACATCACAGGCGGCCCAACCTCTCTTTGAGAAACACACAAGGAACACAATTTGCATATCGATTTATAAGGATTTGTTTGGGATTTTCTACAAGATAGCCATAGAGATAGTTAAAAGTAAAATAAATCGGTAAAATAAATAATTTAAAATAAATCGGTAAAATAACGACACCAGGAGCAAGCAATACAGGTATGGAATAAGGTAAGCCATTTTTATTTAATATTTTCACTTTTAACTATCTCTATGGCTATCTTGTAGAAAATCCCATACAAATCCTTATAAATCGATGTGCAAATTGTGTTCCTTGTGTGGTCCTCAAAGAGAGCTTGGGCTGCCTGTGGTGACATAGTCTTTAATTTCCTTGGTTTTAAGAATTGTCGCGCGGATTCATTCGATCAGAGGAGAGCTATTTAGAGCTATTTTTGTGTCTCAAATTTATAACTTCTGTTACAAGGATCGGAATTGTCTGGAAAGTTCGCGAAAGTCAATGTCACGCAATATGTTGTTTCAAGAATTTTCTAGAACTGTGACTCATCATTATAAATAGCTACTTTTGGAAACTTCTAGACTCTCTTCGGATGCTTATATAAGCGGCTCGCTAGTCAGGTTGTTGTTGTGATTTGGGACTTCGTTCCCTGTTTGTGATCTTTAAGTGATATTGTGTGACAAGTGACAAGTGAAGGGATTTTCCCGTTCGGATGATATGAGACTGACATTCTGCTGTCAAGTCCAGAGTTGTTTACCGTGGAGTGCGATACTTCGAAGGAAGTCTTCAGGAGATTTCGCCGAAGAGAAGGACAGTACTTTGCTTGTGGTCAGATAAGCTTAGATAAGTACATAGTTAATTTTAGTTGGATTGTTCCAAGAGTAGTCGCTAGCTCGTGTTAAGTTACCTCCCATTGTTTACAGTTAAATAAATTGTGTTTCGTGGAAATAGCGAGGTTATTATCTTTCTGCCGGTAATCAGTTACCGTAACACTTCTAACCTTTATTCTGTTGAACATCACAATACTATTCATGTACTGTGCTTCAAGTTTTTTCCTGAGTTGTCCGGCGGTTTTATTCTCGGGAAACCAAGCCTCTAACTTTCCTGAAAAGTGGTTGCCTGAACCCAATTTTTTTAGTACATTCCTTTTTTTTCTGTATGTGTCCTTGTCATGAATTTCTCTTTTAGTAATAGTAATAGTAAATAGTAATCAAAGTTTAATGTCTTTACGTGGGGCATGGTTACCCATATTGCCCAAGCCAGAGGCTCATGCATGAAACGCAAGACAACAACCCACCCATACCACCGCAGGGGAGGACATCCATCACACAGTAATCTCGTGAGTGGGAAATTAACGTCTCCTACCCCTAACCCTGCAGGAGACGGGACCTCTATTTAAACCTCCCTATCCAAGAAGAATAGAATATCTAAACCATTTCTTGATGTTATAGAAAGGCAGCATATATTCTTCTCAATTATTTTAAGACCTTGAGTGTTGGTCCGGCCGGGGCTCGAACCCTCGACCTCCCGCACATCAGTCCAGCGCTCTATCCATTGAGCTAACCGAGAGGCGGTTTTTGCAGCTTTTGCCAAGTCACGGTTTTTGTCTATCCTTTCTATGTATAGTAGTCTACAGTGATCTACGGACCAACAGACGGTTAACAGAGCCAGGAAATTGAACAACTTACTCTTGAAGCAGAAGCTTACCGATATGTAATGGCAAACTCAATAATGTCTAGATCACACACAAACAGCAATAAGGGAAAGTTTTAACATCCAGAACCTGTTGTTCTTACATTTTCTTATTTTTCAGCCTTTTGCCAAAAATCACTAGCGTGAAAACCTAATGAAACAGAAACAGAAATTATGACAAGCTCATTTCTTATTTTTCAACCTTTCAAAAAGGAATAATGAGAAATTCTTTTCTGTCACCTAGGAGTTGTTGTTGTTATATAATTTCCTTTTAAACCTCTTAAATCATAACATTGTTGTTGTTCATGTTCCAGTTTGTTAATTGTTACAGCTCGATAAACAGATTGAGACTGCCTCAAAGCACAACATGTACTAATAAATTAAACCAACAAATTGCTTGAAACCAAACAAAAAGGGTTAACTAAAAGGGACTATTTCTGTAAATGTTGAGTTAACAATTGTAATTGTTGAGTAGCCAAATAAACTTCAAGTTTCATCGGCAGATTGTAATTGTTTGTGTTCTTATTAGATGCATTACATCTGGGCAGCACTCCTTCACCTATTAGGCACACTAAGTTTTAAGTTCATTACATGTTATTTCAGGCTAGCACATAATGTTAATGTTAAGTTTTGACAGAAATCTTGTGGATCATTATGCAAGCAATTCTCCAACTGTTATGAGACCTGATGCCTAGTTGATTTTCAAATTTACTGCTGTGAACTGAATCTGTAAAGGAAGTAAAGTTTACTTGAAATAAGAACAATTAATTCACTACAACATATTAACACGTTATGTTTCAGTCAAGCTCTGACAGCCATGAGTTGAATTTAATAAAGAATATAATTGTGGAAGGAAAACTCATTATTTCACGGTGAACTTCCCTTACGGAACAGTGACTTTTTTCGGGACCCGCGGCACTTTAATAAAGGTACATCGAACCTACTCTTTACAGAACTCTCCTCAAGTATGAAATATACTAATTGAAATACATGTATCTACCATTCACATAAGTGTAAGTACGCAGGAAACCATCCCATGCTTGACAGATGTACGCATTGCGGACCTATTTTTTTCCTATGTGATAGAGAGGTGAGTCACCTATCACTGCTATCTATTCCATGATAGATAATGAATAAAGTGATTGGCATAGGCCTGTCTTGTTTTTGAGTTTTGAACATCCAGTTAATCTTCACTAAAGCAATAAGATAATCTTGATTTCAATACGTGATAGTTGATTTGGCCTTTCATCAGCTAATTATAACCGCCTCCCGGTTAGCTCAATGGATAGAGCGCTGGACTGTAGTGCGGGAGGTCGAGGGTTCGAGCCCCGGCCGGACCAACACTCAAGGTCTTAAAATAATTGAGAAGAATTTGCTACCTTTCTATAACATCAAGAAATGGTTAGATATTCTAGTCTTCTCGGATAGGGACGAATAAATGGAGGTCCCGTCTCCTGCAGGGTTGGGGCAGGAGACGTTAATTTCCCACACACGAGATTACTGTGTGATGGATGTCCTCCCCTGGGGTGGGATGGGTGGGTTAGGACAGCAGGTCCACATCAGCTATTACAGCTGCCAAATAAATCAACCTGCTTAAACAAATAAATGAACTTCAACTTCAACATCACGCATTGAAATCGGGAGCCCATTATTCGATTATTAACAAACGGTAAAGCTCCTGGATAAGATTCATCATTGACGCATTCAACCACGAAATCAAAAATCTTTCTAAGTTTTGAAGTGTTTGGCTTTTTTTAGTGACATTAGAGCCCTTACGAACCAATGAATCAGATCCGTTTCGAGGGATTTCATGAACACGATTTCAAGAGCTAGCTCGAAGTGGGCTTTGGTTTGACCAAAAGTGCTTAACCACCGATCAAAAGGGAGGTGAAAGTTCATAGATTATAGCTGGTGGACTAAGACAGAGGTGCTGGTTTGACGTTATTTCACTCCCTTATTGATTTACCTTCGACAAACGTGGTCACGCACTTGTAAAAAGGGAGAGGCCTCACATAACAGCTTGTAGGGACGTATCTGCTTAATTGACATTTGGCATTCGAAAATTTGTTGGAGTTTTTTAACATATTCAGATCCCTTGGTTTTGGTTTCAAGGAACTCAGTTAGATTCGCCCACATTTCGAAATGTAAACACTTCTAAGCTTTTCTTCTTTATTGAAATTTCTACTCCAAAAATTAAGTCTGGGTGCTGGGGATGATAGACGGGGAAACTTATTTCGCGTTCGCCTCCCATTTTCCTGGTGGTGTTAATGTTATGAATTTCTTGACAGTGTTACCGCAATTATCCACTTTCCCCCAAATGAAAGACATAGAAGTTTTCAGGTCGCCCATATCACCAAAGGTAAACGCCCAACGAAAAATGACGTCAGAACCCAGACTTGTCGATAATAAGGGTGGGGGTTTCTTTGTAAACAACTCCTGTAAAATCACAAATAATGAAAGACAGTCACAACACCTATATGACCGCCAAATTTCGAGCTGTCTTGGGTTAAGATAACACTTTTCACTAAACCATTAATTTCGGCACGAGCGGATGAAATAATGGACAATCTTCTCAAGTGCCGCTCTGCTCTACCACCCTAGAAACTTAACAACAGCTCAAGAATTCACTGATGTTGCCGATCCGAAGAACTTCGCACTTGCTTATTGTTAACACCCGTTTGTAACGAGAGAAGGGTTAAGAAATGGGGCTGAGGATGAAATAACGCTCCTCTATCACTTTTATCCATTTTCGACGTGAAATTCTGAAGCTATCCGTGGCCGGTTCGTTAAGCCTGATCTACATTTTCTAAAGAGTTCCTTTTATCGCTTCATGTAAAGTAATTTCTTGCTTTCTTTTCTTTTCGCCTTTTTATAGGTTTTTGTCTGTCTGCTTGGCAACTATATTCTTGGGCCTAGTTCTTTTCTCTTTATCACCAGCAGCTTTTTGCTTAAATGGGATTGACAGACTGCTGGTTGCATCAACGTGTCACATAAAGGTCACGCACTGAGAGAATCGTTTTATTTGAGCAAAAAAAAAAAAAAAGAGATTATTTTGCCAATGAGGTCTGTACAAGCCACTCAGTATATTCGATTCGACATCAAACGCCTAATAAGTATTGTATTTCGAAAGGTCCAAACTGCTTTGATGGGGGTATCTCAAAAGTTGACAAACGCTGAATTGCCCACACCCAGATAATCCATTTGATATTTGTATAACTTTTGCAAAATTGAACTTCAAATGATTCCGCAGGATTTCCTTTTGTCTCGAACGTTATCAGATTACGATGTTTCCACCCGATGCTTAATTAATCTTACAATACAAGTGCCACTTAAAATCGGCAGTGTCGAGGAATATTAGTTGCGAAGTAATTCATTAATTAAATGTACTTGTAAATATTAAGTATATCACTAAATTGTAATTAATTTCGTTACAGATGTCATAATAATGTAAACAAAATCCGTAGTTGATTTACTCTAAGAAAGATTTTGTAATTGCACGCGTTTATTCCGTCTAATAAAGAAGGGGAAATGTGCCTTATGTATTACAAAATTTTGGAATGAGATTGCACTGTACTCGTGATTATGGGAAAAAAATTCTAGCTAGTAGTTACGCAAGGCGAACTGTGTATACTGTAGAAAATTGTAGTCTAAAACAGATGTTTAAGATCGTTCAAGATTGTCAGATTGGTAGATTGTTATAGATTGTTAGATCGTTTTGAGCTGTTGTAACGAGAAATTGTTAGAACGTCGGCGGAGTTCGTCGAAAAATAAATCGGTTTAAAAAGAGGATTGTATACAGTCCTGCGGAGTCAGTGGAGATTCCGAGACAGGCAGGAAGAGATTGTATGGTTTTTTTTTTTCCTTCTTTTGTTTTACTTTGTTTTGGTTTGTTTTTTTTGTTTTGTTTTGTTTTTGTTTCGGTAAAAGCCTCAAAGGGACCAGCCAGCATTATCACGACAAACTGATGACACGCTCTCGCAAAGATAAACCCACTTTCACCAGACGTAATGGGCTCCTGCTATCGCCGATTTCAATATCTGGGAAAGCTCTCATCAAAATTTTCACAAACTCATTGACACAATGCAAACGAGCGAAAAAAAAAAAAAACAACGACGTTTTTGCTAAAGGGGGTCAGTAAGCCATCAAGTCCATTAGATTCGACAAATAAACGCCGGATGTGCAAAGTATCATATTTGAAAGGGTTCAAACTGCTTTGATGAGGGTATCTCGCAAGTTGACAAACGTTGAATTACCCGCACCCAGATGATCCGTTCGATATTTGTTTAGCTGTTGCAAAATCGAACTTCAAACGATTCTGCAGGATTTCCCATTGTCAATTACTGTGTTACCGTTCGTTTTCCTTTAAATAGACACCGACAGTTGAAGCAAATCGAACCTTTGATCAAAAAGAACAGGAAGTCGCCTGATGATAGAAAGTGAAAGCAAATAGGTGTGGCAGCTTGAATAATTCATAGTCGCTTTATCATGCTTGGAAGAAAACCATAATTTGTCTGTTACTCCGAATTTTGTTTTGTCTCTCTGCGGATAGCTTTTCCTAAAGATTATCTTTTAATCACTTCCAATGTTCTGAGAATTCAAAACAAAGGACCTACCTAAGTGCTTCTGCAAATATTTAAGTCTGTGTGCCTATTATAGTAATGGTACTTGTTTCAATGATTCTTAGAACCAATTTGCCTTTGTCTCTTTTAGTCCTGCTCGAGCGACTTAGAAACAAAGAAAAGCTTATTTTGAATACGCTCAGTTTGTTCAAAAGACATACCAAAATTGTGTACAGATATGTATTTTCTTCAACTAAACCCTTCGAGTCAGATGGAGACAAGTTTTGCTTGATAGAGCTGATCTTCCAGTACCATCTTGACAAGAGTTTCAGTGAGCCTCGTTACAAACAGTTATGCGTGTTTACATAACAGAGTACATTTGAGCACTAAAGCAATGAATTGTTTTTACCAACCTAAACATTTAACGGAAGCCAGGTGGAGAAACATACAAACCAAGACACAATAGACGATGATATGAAAGACCATCTTGACTTTCTCAGCTTAGATTGCGTTCCTTGGTTGAGTTGTTTGAAATCAGTTTACGAGACATTTGAGGCGGCGCTAAGCATATGTACAAATGGAAGTCAGTCTTGTGCCCATTTCCTCACCGCCTGCATTCCTAAAATTGCCTTGAAGGCGTGTTCAAATTTTCTTAGAAACCTGGATGCGTCAGGCTGTCATCGGTGAGTATTTGGAACAAAGGAAAGAGCATTACAGAGTTGAAATAGCTGATACGGAAATCATAATTAAATACCGCGGCGGAAATTCCGCGCCACGCCTGGCAAGTATAAGCTAACAGTTGCCATATTAGTAAGCATTCCCTTCGCGATCAACGAGCGATGAACATTATATTGTAAAATTTTTTTTCCCTTTTTTTCTCTTTCCTCTATTTAACCCCTTCTCCCCCCCCCCCTGTTCGGGGGAGCATTACATATGGTCTTAGGCATAAAGACCCAGTTACTCCCAATTGAGTTGGTGTGTAATTAACAAGTAATTTGTTGCCCTACACCGAATGCAAATATGACGTCCAATTTGAATTGCCATTTTTCCGAAGTTACTAGCCTCCTCTTCCCGTGGAAAACACAAAAGGATTATTACATGTGTGAGAGGCTAGTGAGTCCAGAACAATGGCAACTCAAATTGGTCGCCATATTTGCATTCGGTGTATAGGGTTACGTCATGTGAGGTAAGCGAAACAATCTATAGACAAGCGGGAAAAAGGAACCGCGTGTAAATTTTTCCATGCATAGCTTATGACAACAACTGATTTCAAATCTTCTAATGGCACATTATCAGGCAACGATAGATTTGGACTTTGTCTTAGTCTCTTTGCTTTGCAATTAAAATTGTATCTCGTTTATGGCGATCAATAAGTTGGGAATGTATCATCCTTCACACTAAACGTAATTTCCATTTTTAACTGGACGCAAACCTGCGTGACCTCGCGCTTCTCTTTAATAAAATCTTTAATTTTTATATCAATCAAATTTGTTTGGTCTTGTCGTCATTTCTTTGGTTTCAAGTGTGCAGATCTTCATAGAAAATGAAATTTAAGTGACACAACTAAAACGGAGATACTGTATATCTAGGCGTCGGGATAAGGTTACAGCATCGAGCTTAAAAAAAGAAATCGGTTTATTACAAGAATGAAAACAAAGCCGTATAACGACTAGCTTTAGTACTACATTTCAACCTTCGTCCTTGATCGAGAAATGCAAAATGCCTTAAACATAGAGACAAAATGCTTGCTTCCAACTTTTACACAGTTGATATAATAATTCAACTTAGAAGATCTGGGAATCGTTGGGCGTATTTAATAACTGAATAAACTAGACGCATAACTGCTTGAACATGAGATTCCTTATAATTATAACTTATGTCGTCAAGAGAGCATAATATTTGCAAACTAGACGCATATCTGCGGGAACTTGGGCTTCCTTTTATAGATGAAATAACCATGCAAATGCTTTGAAGAAATTGCGAGGTATTTCTCTTATTTATTTATTTTACTACAAAGTCACGGGAAGTGCTTCGGCGAAAATTCCCAGAGTGGTAAAATGCAAGGGTGGATGCACTGCCCCTTTAGCTAAAAAATAAATAAATACAAATACAAATAATCAAAGTCAGGCCGGTAATTTCAATCAAGGCCCCCTTCAATTTTTGGCTGGATCTGCCCTTGAAATGACCCTTTAAGATTTTGTCTAGTTTCTGTACCATGTGACCCTTAGTGGGCAATCACTTTCCTTAAAACTGGTCCTGTAGTACAAAAATACACACCCACAAGGCTGAATTTTGAGCAAGCAATTAACCATTCTGGTGATTTTCATAGTAAACTAGCATACTGTTGAACAAATACCTAAATAGTCCAAATGTAACTCTCGCATTACTGTGTAATATCTAAGGATGGCAGAGCACTTCAAAAATTTGGGGTCAAGACTTAAACAAATGAAAATTTAGGGGGCTAGGTATTGAAAAAATAAAAAAAAGAAAAGAAAAATGTTCATAAAATCAAGAAATGGCTATGCAGTCTGTGTTAGTAAAGAAACACTAAAAGTGCACGATAGTTTGCACTGTTTAAAAAAAGTAAATCGTGTTTTATGTTGCTCCTTTTAGTGTAATCTGTTAATGTTTAGAGTGTTCGCACTTACTGCGTGTAACAAATAGCATATTACGACATTCAACTTTGTTGATATGTACACCTTTAATCTCATATATATGATTGTTATGTATACTTTGAAAATATTGAACCAAATTATCCAATGATGTCAATTCAATTAGGACACATGTACCATGAGTATCGCCTCTTCCACATAAATCTCTTGCATGAGAATCAAATACTTTAAATCCCAGATCTCCATAACAATATGCACCAACAGTAATAGACTCTATTGTTGATCAGGAAACTGGTATGATTATCAGATATTAAAGATTAGAATGCTGTTTGTAATGAAGTGCAGTAGTCGTATCCTTCTATTGTAGTTTCTTGACGAATATTTCCGATAAAACTGTCACTATATTGCAGTTCATAATCAGTATCAAACACATTTAAGTTGGTTGGTAGTTCTGATAGCATGAGAAATGACTGCATTGCTGATTGTGATAGTCTTGTATACCACTCATTTCCAATATTCATTATTTTAAAAGATCATTTGATGAATGAATTCCATTATTATTATTATTATAAATTAAAGAGCATAAACTCATCGCAACACATTGTTTCCCTGCATTTTCTCCAAAGATGATAGTATTTCCTTGGCTACATAGTGCTGTTATAGTCTTGCTTAGATCAACATATATTGTATCATTAGGGCCAGGATTCTTCTCTATGTCATTATGTAGTTTAGACTGACAGTAATTCATTAGATGTGACAGAGTCTTATAAAAGACACTGGCCTGTTACAAGAAAACAATGATATATACCGACTAGCTTTACACTTGAAGCTTGTTAACCTTGTTAACCTTAGAGAAATAAACGCTTGGAGTGTACCACTGAGCTTCAACTTTGAAACAAAATGTTTGCTTTTAACCTTTGTGCGTTTCATATAATAATGTAACTTAGAAGACTTGGGTATATATGAACGAATTTTACGATAAACAATTCGTCTAAGCTTCCTATTTTTAATGTTAAGCGTTATAGAAATCATGTTGGTATTCTACTTGGTTCACGGTCAGCACGACCATAGGCGTATGGGCACCTTTGGACTTGGGGGGGCGGTGACTTCCTTGCCCGAAAAAAAACACGTAATGCCCGGAAAGGTAAGTGTTGAAATCGGGATGCAAATGGAGACGTTCACCATTTTCCCATCTAACGAAACTGCTATCATTGGCAGCCCCCCCCCAGCTTCCCCTCAGC